GCAACAATTTAACAAGCAAAAGAAATAAACAAACAAGCAAAAAAAAATAGAATATCTAAAAATATTGAAAAAACAGCATAATCGAATATCGTAATCGTAATCGCAAACGCAAACCGCTATCGTAATCGTTATCGTTATCGTTTCTTTAAATACTCGAGCTGCATACATATATTTACATACGTACACGCATACCTAGTTAAATTCTTAGATATCGTACACCCATCGTCTAGCCTAGAGATATTCAGACACCATTTTGATGAACAACTTTAAAGATTCTTCTATTATCGATATTGTTTATTATCATTATCATTATTATTATTATGAGACAAACAACAACAATAACAATTTGCATTATTATATTGAGCGCAACGTGTAACAATAATTAAATGTATCGTAGTTAAATTAAGTTTATAACTTTTGGGGGCAACGAGCACTTAGCAGGCAAATTTCTATTTTTGCACCGCTGTACTATTAGCCCAGAGCAAAATTATATAACACATACACACATATTGTATTGGAGTTATACGAAATAATACAGAATATAACGTTACAAGATATAGCACAACATAAGGCAACAACTATATATACATACACATAAATATCGTATACATACGTTTAATCAAAATCAAAAACTACATCAAAAATCGTAAATCGTAACTCAACGCAACATAAGGATATGCCCAAATGCTCAACTATGCTGCCCACCCACTACAACAACAACAACAACAACAACAATTGCAGCAACTCGGTCGTGGCACGAGCACCAAGATCATCATCAGCACAGATCTATTAACTTGTTTCTTATATGCAGTGAGCTTTACGGTAAATGTTCCCCACCAAATGCGAAGAACCTGCATCATATATGAGCTGGCTGTTGTTTTGTTGTTGCACAATACCAATAATAATCTATATATATATATATATTAAAAAAAAAAAAACAAACTAAATCTTCTAAGCAAACTTAGTTATAATTGTTTTATGTGCGAGTGTTTCAATTAATTTTGTGCCCGTAAAAGTTGTTGAAATCAACTTTGAATTAGAAAAAGAAAACGAAGTTAAAATTTTATTCACTTTTTTGAAACACTTGACTGTATATATCTATTTAATGTATAATCTGTAAAATCTATAACTATATGTACCATATTTGCCAAACTGTTTCCTCGTGTTGTTAATATTGTTACAAGTTTTTTGGCCCAAATTTATACTCTTGTGTGTTTTTCTCACCCTTATCTATATCTATATATCAGTTTTATCTGAGTTATCTAATAAAAGTTTACCCATTGTATTTCCTTTTCAAGCTGTTTGTTGTCCATTTTTTTGTTGTTCTCGATATCCTTGTGGATCTGAGTTCTACATTTCGCATTCAGCATCAGGAACTGAGCATCATATATCGAGTATATTTCGCTTATCGTCCGTTGTGTCATAAGAAACCATATATCTTTTATCTTAAGTATTTGGCGCAGAGTTCATGTGTTTGCAATTGAAACCAATTTATTTCGGATTCTTTTCTTGGTGGGCTGTGCATGTTGTTTTGGTCTGTTTTTAGGGCGTGTTCAGTTCAGAGATACGAGATTCTCCAGAGATTATGTTATAATTAATCGTTTGTTGTTGTTCTTGTTGTTGCTGATGCTGCTGAGTTGCTTTCAGAGAGCCGCAACCCAACTAATCCGCATGAATTCTTTGTTCCAAAATACAATTTATAATATATATGCATATATATATATATACTTATATGTATATCCCCTCAATCTGATTAGAGTCTATAATTCAATGTGCTGTTGCGCTAGTTGTATTCATTATGTTTTGTAAGTTTTTACTAATTTTATTTAATTTTCTTTTACTTTTGCTGCATTTGCTGCCATCCAACCAAAAACAAAAACCAGCAACTTGATGCCTACAAGTCGGACAATGACCGCCTGAAGGAGGAGAACGCCGCGTTGATTAGAGTAATTAGTAAATTAAGTAAATGAAATTATGTCGTAACTTAAATTTACTCAAAAACAACAAAAAGAAAAACAAAGAAAACCAACATCAAGAAAGAAGAAAACAATTTCGTTGAAGCGATCAGTCAACAACGCGAAATGAATTCAACTAAATTATCAAAAAGAAAAGTTCTGTTTATTATTATTATGATTATAAAAAAAAATTGATTATTATTTTTGTGTGTTAAGGCATTTAAGCGCTAGATGAAACCATGTTTCGAAAATCGTTGAAAATTGTTTTGTTTAATTTCTCTCTCAATCTTCCAAAATTAATATACATATTATCAAGAAGTTGAAGAATGAAGCGTGTATTTGGTCAAATTATATATACACATACATCTATATATATCTATATATATATATATATATGTATACAAAATAGAGAAAATTATAAACATCAAAAAAAAGTTAATTATAGTTATAGATGTTGTCTAACGGTTAATTTCAAACAAAAGAAAACCTTTACGAAAATCAACTGAGAAAATATTCATCAAATGAGCCCTAGTTACAGATTAGTTTAACTATATATTGCATACATACAAACATATATTTTTCATATATACATATAAATTATATACATACACACACACACACACTCACACTCACTTACACATACACACATGTTTAAAACTCATACAGCTTAGAGGATTAAACTGTTTTGTGAGAAATGTTTTGAAACCAGCCCACGCAATGTCAACGTACTAATTTATTAAAGCTGTAATTGTTTTTAAAAGAAACTCATTTAGTTTTAAACATAAATTTTGTATAATCGATCCGCGGATATACATACGTACATACATACATGCATACATGCATACATGTGGCATATGCATATGCAACAATATTATCGTTATACGGACGACATGTATGAATTAAGCGCAGCTCTCGCATGTTACTTTTCATTTCATTTAGAATGATATACTATGTCATATATTAACTTAACTTAACCATGGCGCTCTAGTACATGCACAAGAGTTGTAGTTTAATGATATATAGATATATATGAGATGTATACTCCTAATTAGATATGCTGCAGTTGCATATGTTGCATATGCATATGGACGATTTAATTCATTATGTTAATTTAAGTTGTTCACTTTTGAAACGTATTATATATATCGTACTCTATACTTATTTCAATTTCGCTTGTAACATTATTGAATTCGTTTAAGAGATTTTTTGTGTTACTCTCGTGATGGAAAACGACAAAACAAACTGAAAAACAAGTGAATTGTGTAATATGTAAAATTGTGAGAAAATATTCAAATACGAAACTTAATAAATGTGATCGCAAAGTAATGTTAAAAAGTTTTCCCTAGAATTCAGAATTTTAATCCGATCATTTTTTTATGATCCATATATACCCGATTTTGTTATATATAGTTATTTAAGAGACTTGTCCTCTAATTATTGATACTTATTCATTGATGCTGAAAAAGATTCTTCTCGATTGGGAAAAGATAACGAGAGTTTGATAGCCGTAATGAATACGTACGACCAAGTGGGGAGCACTTGCATCTCCAGTAATTTATCAAAATGTTCTATTATAAATTTAAAGATCAGATAAATTTGTTGTGGCATCGATTAGTTGCGCCAGTAGAGCCGAAATGATGCATGAAAATGTTTTTATGTTGTACTTAAAAAGACAATGACACTAATCGACCTATTTGACCAATTATTTGGCGATTATTTGAAGTATTTAAAATAATTATACAAATCGTTATATTTCCTTATTACCAGACCGAAAAAGTCCCCTTTGCTAGATATCCATAATGTATATATCCCTAGTTAATCAAATATGTAAGAGAAGAAGACTTCGGCGTCCCTGGTTTGATTAAAAAAGTCTTAAACCTCGGCGTGTTGAGCAACTAATTCACATTAATGCTCTTTAATGCAGCTTTCAACGCCCCGAGTTAGAGGTTGCAAGAAGGGTTAATGGAGATGACCTTTGATGTGCCTCATTAGGTAATTTACTCTAAAACAGTTTTACTGTAATTCATCCCATCGGGTTAAACTTGATTTTGAAGGTCTATCAAATCGGTATATATGTGTGTTGTGAATGTGTGTAAGTTCCTTATTATTAATTGCACTTTACGATGCGATTGCCGCCTTACTATGTGATTCTCATTATTTAAAGTAAGATTCGCAGCTGAAGGAGGAGGAGGAGGACGATTATGAGGAGGAGTGGGTGCAATCTAATTTATTTATTTATGCATGTATGTATGTTTGATTATGTACGTCTATATATATGTATACCGCGTATACTTCAAACTCTTTCACTCCCTCCCCCTCTCACTCTATATCGCTCTCCCTCTATCTTCCACCCTAATTTTACTTCTCGCTTTTTTGTTATGCTCTTACTTTTTTTCGCATCTGCTTTTTCAGTGATTTGTATACCCAACACACTTCCACCTACCAATAGATGACAATAAACTAATTGTTCGCGTAGATGTGAAGTTTTGGGTAAGTATAAAATGTTTATATGTACACTCAGCTAAAAGCTTGGAATACGAGCGTAATGCATATTTTAAACAAATGCCATCTAACTATTTTAACCTCATGCTATTATCGTTGAAATGAACTCATAATAAGTCAAATTTCTTATTAGAATAGTCTTCAAGTGCGTGCTGCCTAACATAATGTATGCATACGTAAATAGATTCCAGTTAGATTTAAGCTCGCACTCGCGCGCGTAAGGGCATATGGTTAATTTGACCTCTGATGTCCAACCTGGCTGGAAATTAAAATGATTGCCGGATGAAAGACCTTTAAATGCCCCAACTACACGTGACCATATACCCAGTCGTAAATCTGGAATATAAAAAGGTGACAATTTTAATGCGGCCGCAAGCATGGCCCACGGTGCCGCAAAACCAAACCAAAACAAACTCAACTTGAGTCGACTCAAAGCGTTGGCAGCTGCGCTCAAAAGCCAATTGAGTGGAAATGCGTTGAGCGCGGCTTAAATAGGTTTTCAGTAACCAAAAAATAGTCAGTTCCGCTCAAAGCGTCTCCACGTTCACAACGTTCGTCGTCGTCGTCGGCAGTGCTGGGCTTTGAAAACGGCTGCGGAAATAATAGCCAAAAATTTGTTAACCTGGCCCATTGCAACGACGCGTCGTACAAGTAAACCCAATTTATATAAGTTTTGCGAGTTGTGAAATTGAAGTGTGTAGAGATATAAGAAAGAAACAGAAAACGGATTTAAAAAAGTGAGTTCATATTAAACGATTACATAATGGGGAAAGGATATGGAAATACAAAAAAAAAAAAAAAAACACCTACACAGCAATAAGAGAAGAAAATACTCAAAGCGAGTTCAAGTCGCTGCCTGGAGCCGAAGAAAAACTTTCGCTTTCACCGAAGCGCCGCTTGTCGCCAGGCCTGAGCTTTTCTCGATACGCAACTGGTCTTAATTTGATTTATTTATAGCCATATTGATGCTGCATATTAGCCATTAGATAAAGCAGAGCCAAGATCTCAGCTACTGTGTATGCATGTGTGTGTGTGTGTGTCTGTATGTGTACTTGAGTTCTTGGGTTTCACTTTCTGCAAGGCCCCACCAAATTATGGAAATCTATTTTGAAATTCTGTAGTATATCTGGTATTGGGCAACGAGTTAATTAAAATTATGCGCTAGTAGGTAATACGTTATACGTTGAGTTAATACGTTGAATGTTAAGCCAAAGGCCCGGCGGCAAGGTCTCGTCCGCCGAAGTTGGCTAATGCCATAAAAAAAACAAAGTAAATAAAAAACGTACCTACAATGTGCTGTGCAATCAGTGTGCGTGTGTGTGTGTCGCTGTGAATCTCCAGTTATGAATATGTACATATGTACACACATATGTGCTTAGCATTAATATTCACAAGCGATCACAATTTAGCAATTGCATTAACGGTCACACCATTGTGACCTCGCTGCGAACACCATTTGAATATAGCCCCAAATATATCAAATTATACATACATAAGTGTTTCTAGGGGTTTTTTATAGAGCTACGTTAATCAATTAGTGTTACGAATTCGTACTCTTGTATTCGTACACCTGTCCACTTTCCGCTAAACGTGCCCAGACTCCATAATTAACCGTTCGGCTTAGCTTTCTGGTCTTTTCCTAATTATATTACATATTGCTCTATTCACTTACATTCTAAAGATGAGCGCATGTTATCCGAAAGATCACGTGGACGATTCTGTAAAAAAAACTTTAATTATTAGTTTTCATTCAATATTGAGTCACAAATATTTGTCATTAGCTTAAGCGCAATAGTTCAGTTAAGTGGGCGGCATAATCGAGTCTTACATCAATATCCGGCACATAAGATTTGAGTTACATTTTGAGTGAGTGACAACATCAGGAGTTGAAAGCTTTGCTTGGGCCCCAAACTTGTTTCGAGTGTTTTCTTTGCGCCTGCTTCCGCTCTGGCACTCTCTCGCACTCACTCTCCTTTTCTGATATGTATGTTTTTGTTGTTGGTGCTTTGTTTGCTGTACTTTTGGTTTTTGTCAGATCTTATGCTATGATGTAACCAAGCGGCTAATTGGCAGAGCGGATGCAGAGAAAGAGCGAGCAAAAGAAAACACAAATTGCACGTCGCAAAGCACAGCTTGAAGTGCGCTCTCCTTGCTCTCCTGCTGCTGCCGTCGCTGCTGCTGCTGCTGCTGTCTCCTGCACGCCATTGGATATGGCCATATGACCCAAAAACGCAATCGTCAATAATTACTCACACAGACACACATGCACGCACACACACACACACACTTACATGGGCTTGTAGGCTGGGCATGGTCAAAGCAGGGCATGTTATGAATTTCATTTTTGAGCAGTTCCCCTCTCCTTTCCCCACCCCTCCCTTCGCAGCGCGCTCTTTGAAATCTGTGTGAAGGCCATGAAAGTGAAAAAAAAATAAAACTTGATTTTACGTCCAGCGGGCAGCTGTTATGGCCATAGGTATGGGCGGTTTATGCTCATAAACAGTTTGTTGACCAAAAAACGGTTCGTGTTTTCCTTCTCTCTCTCTCCCTCTACGCGCTACGCAGAGCCAATTAATATGGCCATTATTATACACTTTGGGGCATATATCTGAGTGCAATTGGCCACGTTAAGCAGCGTTGACAGTGACTGCCAGCAGTTGGCAGCCACCATTGCCGCCGCCGTCTGCAGTGATATAATCTTCTGCCTTTATTTTAATATACGGCTGACCTTCGAGTTCGAGTTAAATGGGCTTTTTGATCGTGTAGAAATTTAAATAAAAGCGATCGTACGATATGCCCGAGTCGTTGTTCATATGCAAAACAAACTGTCCCTTTATTTTGGGTCATGGTCAATGGACCGGTAAGTTAACAAAAGCGGCCAACAGCAGCTAATCACTTGGCTGTGGCAATTTTGGCCACATTCAAATATGCAGTCAGCTCTATTTGTAATCTTCTTTTCGTTGTTGTTCATTTTGTTTTTGCTTTAATTTGCCAACTCTTACACTGTCGCCTATATGTATTCGTACACTGACTAATGGCCAGCAGCTGGACCCACGCAACGCCAGCTGCCACGAACTTAAGTTCAAAGCCAATGACCCAAGACCACAATGCACAAAAACCAAATTTGGCTGCAGGTGGGCTTTAATCACACGTACAAATAAATGTCTCTGTGTGTGTGTGTGTGTGCGCGCTGGTTAATGTAGGTCAGCAAACAGTAGTTAACTCCCAGAGTTCGATGAATGTTAACATTTTGGCCTCAGCGTCAGCCACTGGACGAAGGCCAACCACACAATTAGCAATATCTGCGCCGAAATCTGTGCTCTGTACACGTTGCGTATACGTAATAAATGGTTTTGAGTGTTTGCATACCCATTAAATGGCTAGCACGGCTAACGGGGCTTAATTGACTTGTTGAGTGTGCTTATTGAATTCCTTTATGCTTTGGCTTGCAGTGCTGGAAACTGAGGTGCGGCAACAACCCAAGCTCGATGGGCCGGCGTCCAGTGACAAGGACTACGATCCGTATGTGTGCTCGCTGAGTGCGGACATGAAGCTGCTGGCCAAGGACGAGCTGCACGAGGACGACAATATACGGCGGCAGGCGTTGGCTCAGTTCCGCGAATGGATTGCCAAGCATCCGCACATCAAGAAGTGCCGCACGGATGCGATATTCCTGCTGCGCTTTCTGCGCACCAAGAAGTTCTCGGTGCCCGCCGCCTGCGAGATGCTCGAGCGCTATTTGACCATACGCCAGCTGTTCCCGCAGTGGTTCCAGCATTTGGACATCAATGATCCGGCCATCGATGAGATATTCGAGGCGGGCTACCTGGTGCCGTTGCCGCAGCGCGATGCCAGCGGGCGTCAGGTGATTTTCTCGGTGGCCGGCAAGTTTGATCCCTACAAGTTCACCTCGGTGCAGATGGCGCGCGTGCATAGCCTGATCTGTGAATCGCTGCTGGACGACGAGGACTCTCAGGTGTCCGGCTATGTCTATGTGAACGACGAGAGCGGCATGAACATGGGCTTCGTCAGCCTCTGGTCGCTCACGGATCTGCGTAGCATTATGAAATGCATTCAGAACTCGACGCCCATGCGCCACAAGGAGACGCACTTTGTGAATATACCCCACTATGCCAACCGCATCATTGAACTGGGCGTCTCCATGCTCAGCGACAAGCTCAAGAAGCGCATCATTGTAAGTGAATCCTGCCAGGACTACCTCTAAACACTGTGTTAACTTCAGCGTCTCCTTCAATATACAGGTGCACAAGAACGTGGATGGGCTGAAGTCGAAGATAAATCCCGCCATTCTGCCCAAGGAGTACGGCGGCACCATGCCCATTGCCGAAATGATCCGGGAGTTCAAGGCCAAGCTGCAGCAGCGCCGCGCCGCAATACTCGCCCTGGACGACATGCACATCGAGATCACCAAGGAGGCGGCCAAGTTTGCGGGCAATGACATTGGCGACATCGATGCCGGCATTGTGGGCAGCTTTAGGAAACTGGAGGTGGACTAGGTGTCCGCTCGGGCTTTAGGCTAAGCTAGGCTAGGTCAGAATACCATTGAGACAATTGACAACAAACAAACACACACAAAAATTGCCTTAAACCTTAAATTATAAAAATCTACAATTATTTGACGGCCCGGGCTGCAACATCTAATTTGGCACGGATACAGGTACCGGAAACTGAAGTTGTAGTTGAAGTTGTTCTAGCTATATATCCCATCCATGCAGACCCACGCGCGGTTGCATGTATGCTATTTAAATATATATATACCATATACATTCTTGTTCAAATGCTCCACGTTTTGTTTGCTTTCTTTCTCTTCATACATTTTTAATAGAGACCTCGTGTTTCTTTCAGATTCCAGACTATAACAAAGGTATGTACCCACGTTTGTATTCCAAGAACATTTTATTGACAAATGCAAATAAATACATTTTCTATACATATTCAAAGCGCTAATAGCATTGATAAATAAATAAAAACAATTTAGATTAAACAGACATATATATAGCAGAAATCGTGACCGAAATGTCATCAAACTTGAAACTTGTTTTAATTTTGACAACATTTCTTGTAGTTTGAAGACCTAACGAAATACAAGCTTAAAAATTTTAGATGCTTTATATGGAAAACAAATCATGTTCAAAAAGTGATCAATCATAGAAATCGGTTTAGATTTGCCCGAGTTATGACAGTTTGAGCTTTACAAGTTAATATTTTTTTTAGTTATTTTTCATGGTTTTTAGATAGAAAAATGATAAGCATGAAAATTGTTTTTGAGAAACGTTCGCTTGTCTTCAAAATTGTTGCTAGAAACTTTATAACAAAATTCTAAATTTGGGAAATTATTTTGATATTTTTGAACTTTTTTTGTGACGCAAATAAAAAAAAAATTAAAATTCAATAAGCTAAATTCAATTTAATTCTTTTAAATTGTAACTTTAGTTTTCAAAAATAATTAATAACGGCAAGAGTAATAAAAATCGGTTTAGTTTTAATGGCTTCTTAACTGCAAAAGTTAAGCATAAGTTTTGGGAAGTTAAACGGAGTAAAATGTGCACTCCAATAACAATTCTCATTGATTCTAATTAGAATAGATGTAGTTTTGCCGAGCTTTTCAGAGTTGAGTTAAAAAGTTTAGAAAATCTTCCAAGTCAACTCATAACGTGGTAGCGTATTAAAGAGTCGCATAATCACAAGCGCTGAGAACTTTTGTTGTGCCCATAATTGTTGTTGCAACGCGATAACGGTGACACAGACAAAGACGACAACAACGACGTCGACGTCGACGTCGACGTCCCTGAGAGAATCTTATTGCATTTTTGAGCAAGAAAGCGACGACAATCAAAGCTCGAGGTACGAAAGCGTAAAGTTCATATGTGTGTGTGTGCTTGTTTATGGACATGTGTGCGTGTATGTGAATGTACTTCTTCTATGTGTACAGGCTGGCGAGAATATGTGTCGGCATTATGATTGTGTACGCTTTATTATTATGACCGCATACGAAATAATTTCCAAGTTTACATTTCAGTTGAGCGTTGGATCAGCTGGAGAACGCGAGCGTCGAACGTGGAGCGTTAATCGTGGAACGCTGATCGTGGATCGTTGATCGTGGCGCATTCTCATCTCGAGTTGTTAATTGTGACCGTGCTAAGTGTTTCGCTTTGCGGCCCGGGCTTGCACATGTCGACATCAGCTGCCGGGCATTGAGCAATTGTAGAACATAGACAGACTTTAGAAACAAAACGAGGTCTTCTTGGAACTGTGAAGAACTCTTTGACACAGTTCATGACTTTCACGCGGCCACATTGTGTTTGCATTAGTATTCGTATCGATAAAGTGTAAGTGCGACAAGGGCCACGCGCGCTGCGCTCAGCCGGCATACGGGGAGTATGCGCAATATTTGGCTTGTTAGTCATCAGCTGTGCCTGTACTTATTTTATGGGGTCAAAGACTTTTTGGCCAACAGCAGCCACTGACAATCAGCTCAGATTATAAAGATTATATTCATATGCATGCATCATTTACTCGTTTGTCAATATATTAAAGGAATGCATGTGTGTATATATGTACGTATGTAAGCAAAGCAACCTGCTAACTGCAAGTGCGCAGCGAATTCGCTACTGGGCACTAACACGCCACTAGCGGCTGTTCTCAGCCTACTCCAAGAGAGCGCAATCGGACTGCGAGCATTTGGAGCGAGGCGAAAGCTTTGCGCCGAACAGCTGTTTGTAAGTGAGCTTAACCAAACGCAGCTTTTAACTGGCTTGCGCTAAGTGGAAAGCGCACTGGAACTATGTATGTACATATATATGTGTGTGTGTGTACTTCAGTTTTAATTGAGAGGGAGTGAGAGAGAGAGAGAGGGCTAATTGAGCATGAGCCGTCGAAGTGGCGGCGTTTTATCAATACCGGAGTACGAGTCGCAGATAAGAACTCTGAAATCATTTATATAAATTATCACCTTTTTCTCTTTCGCACATTCGTATGGAAAAACCTCAGTGCGGAGCGGTGCATAGGCGTAGTGGAGCAGCGTCTCTAAGTGGATCAACATGAACAAGCTGCGGACCTGGTTGCCGGGCCAACATGCCAAAGACTCTGCCCGCCATTCGGTCACCCTCGAGCCGGAGATTGGCTTCCAGATCACCATCGAGATGCACGACCAAAAGGAGGACAATCAACAAAGCTTTACGGCAGCCAACGGCTCGTCTCCCATGCCCGAGCTGAATGTGCATCTCATTGCGGCGCGGCATCTGCCCTCCCTGTTCGGATTCAAGATCGTACAGGGATATCTGATAAAGGTAATTCACAGATCTTTAAATAAATACATTTTTATATATTTTATTGAATATGTTTCGAACAGGTCAAACTGTTTCCGGGCACAAAACGTTTGGACAGCAGCATTCAGACCAACACCTGGCCAAAGTTTAATGAAAACTTCAAGTTTCCCTTGGTGCCCGATATTAAGTAGGTATATCTTCAGCTAATATTATTCTCAAAGTAACATTCTACTTCATCTTCAAATAGACCATCCTTAAAGCACGGCTCCGCCTTTTCCTCCAGACGCCAGGTGCAGAGCCGCACAGCCGGCGACTTCTCCGCGCCCGACGAACTTTTTGCCGGCCAATTTGTGGTCTTTACCGTTTATGCCTTACTCGAGCTGCCTGCTGCAGTAAGTGCACTTTTGTCTAATATATATCTAAGTAGGTTAAACAAATAATGTCTTTTAGAGTTTCAATCGATTCAACAAGACGTATCGCTCCCTGAAAGATAAGAGCTCGAGTTTTGTGCAGCGGCTTTCCGCGGGTGAAACCCAGACTGAAAATGGGTCAGCACAAAAGAATGGGAAGAATAAAAAGACGACAGAGAATCCAAGGGATGCCATGCCACCATTGACAATAAGCGAATCCCGGAGAAATATAGGTAAGTATTGGAAAACATAATATGGTATTATATAATAATAATATTTAAAGATTTTATACATGTTGGGAGAATAATGAAGAGTTTGGACATGATATTTTGGAAAAATAGAAAAGTTTTCCAAATGAAAACCTTATTCGATGGATTCTTTAAATAGAGTTATATGATATAGTGGTTCGTTATTGAAAAGATTTTTGTCATATATCAAGGGTAAGGTTAAAGGGGCTTATCATAGAAACAGACCGAAGGAGTTGGCTATATCGACCCAGCTGTTATCAGGGTATATATACTTTATGGGATCACATACAAATTTGTATGTAGTTTATATTCATAGTTAGGATTGGAATTGATTGATTATACTGAAAAATAGGCTGATTGAAAGACTGATCCTTGTAACATACATGTGTGCCGAGAAGAATGTCGAAAGGCTGCTAATTTAAGGGTTTTGTGTCTTCTTCAGGCTCCGTCACCTGCTACCTGGAGCCGAAGCTTTTTAAGCGCAACGCTCGCACCGGATGCTATGCGACTGAGGAGCTCTGGCTGCCCATTAAAGATATAACCACCACAGTGCTCAAGACGATGCCCAGCAACAACAACAACAACACTAATGGCAACAACGTAAGCAATCAAAACAGACAAAACTGACGACAACTTGACAGGCCACATTTGGCCCAAAGTGACTTAACCAAATGTTATAAGCCGAGTTTTGAGTGTTGAGTGCAAGTTCATAACTTGAAAATGAAATTAAGATGTGCATTTAATTTGGAGCTAGAGAAAGTTGGCCAAAAGTAAATTGCGACAAGCTTGAAGACTGCGTAACACAAGACAAATAAACAGACGGCAGGCAAAGCGGAGCATGAATAAACAGTTTGACCCTTGACCCCTTTGTTTTACAGCTCACCAATGCGCCCAAAGGTGTTGTCGAGCTGGCGCTGGAGCTGCGCGATCTGAGCGAGAACGAACCACCTGAAGAAGCGCAGCCGGAGCCAAAGGACGAGCCAGCCGCCGCCGGAGCGAACAACTGGCAACGCATGACAGCCGAGGTGAAGCGCAAAATGGGCATCAGCAATGTTACGAATGTCTTGGGCGGCACACTCGTGCTCCGCGTAACCACGGCGCGCATGCGCTGCTCCAACAAGGTCAAGGATGAGCTGGAGGCGACGGCCAGCGCGGGCGTCTACGTCAAGACCACGGTCTTCGAGCATGGCATCTATGTAGACGCCTGGAAGTCGCCCATTTTCTATCCATCGTTATCCACCAAATGGGATGGAGCTGGCGGCGACGAGGCTACCATATGTGTGCCGTTGCGCAGTCGGGAGCAGCTGGAGAACATTGTGATTCGCATTACGCTGGCGACCAAGCTGAAAATGGGCAAGAAACTTGTGCTGGGCACGGTGCTGGTCGGCGGCGGCGATGCCAGTGCCACCGAATCGGGCATGGAGCAAATGCGTCTGCTTCGGGATGCACCACTCAATGAGCGCGTGGCCACCTGGCACTGCTATCACTAGCTCCATCAACCAACTCCTTGCCTCCTGCGATTGATTTCTCAGCAATGTCCGCAGCTCAAGTATAGTTCCAAAATTTCTAGTTTTCCATTCGATTATAATGCTTGTACCTAATATTAAATTGATATGCTCAGCTTTTTAATTGGCCAGGCTTAGCAGAGTCTGCTTTACGACCATGGCCATATTTAGGGACTGGCCGCGGAACCAGGTCGCGCTCAAAGCCATTTCACGCTCGCGGGTTTTCACACTTTTTGCGCAGTATTCCCAAATGTCTCTGCGTCTGCGGCCCACTGTGCGAGCGCTAAATGCATGTGTATTAGTGTGTGTCTGTGTGTGTTTCTCTGTGCTTGTGTGTGTGTGAGGAAAATAGTCGCTGGCAGCATCGAGCGCTCGGCGTTGGCGTTCAGTTCTCGAGAAGACAGCGCCGCGATCGGTTGTGCGGTTGTTTATTTTTGGGTGCTTGTCGTCGACAGCGCGAGCCTCTGAAGCTGCGAGTTTCTCGGTCTCCGTCTCCGTTTCCGTCTCCATATATATGAAAACAGTACCCAATGTAAAAATAAATATACTAATTTTCGAAACAAAACATATTCAAAAACGTAAGCCAAAACTAGCAAAAATTAGTCGTTAAAAAAAAAGGAAGGAAGAAAAGTTTGCAAGCTTCTGGCGCACCCTGTACGCAGGCATTTGCCAGGTAACCGGCAGCCTCAGCCTCTAATTGATAGGTGCCTTTCATTTGGTTAACATGCAAATAACAGCAACAATAATAAATCATTAAACATTCGCGCACTCGAAATTGTTCAATTGAATGGCGATAAAATACAAAAAAAAAGCGCAGCAACAAAAATGATTATAATGATGCGGCCTTAAATAGATGTCGTCATTCCATTTCATTGAGTTGACGGATATACATATACATACATATGTACATAACTATACATATATATGCATGCATGCATGCATGTATGCATGCGCATGTGTGCATGTGTTCCCAGTGCAGCTGACTGCCGCGCCAATGCGACAGTTATGAATGCAACAACAGTTTCATTCATGAAAACATTATGCAAATACACACACACACACACACAAACACACACATGTGCATGCATTCATATGAAATGCATTAAGCGCATGTGTTATAAATATGGCGCCTGGGTGGCTTTTAGGGGGGTGGCATGCGCATCTCCGCCGAATCATGATTTATGGCCAACAATATCCGTCACATATACGCACACATATGTGTCTGTGGCTGTGTGAGTGCATATAAAGTGTCACCAGTGTCTAGTGCATTTTTCAAGAACAGCAAATCGAAGTCGAAATTGATTTTATTTCCACAAACACAAGGCTAATAAATAAATAAAACCGAAGTCCAGACGCACAACTTGACAACTTTTCAACTTCCGTTGCGGCGGCTGCCCCATCTGCACATGAGTAGCATGTGCACATGTGTGTGTGTGTATGTGTGTGTGTGTGTGTGTGTGTGTGTGTGTGTGTGTTTACACGTTTAGTAAGACTTGAACTGCCCACAAGCACTGCCGCTGCCCACTTGAGACATAAACAACAACAAAAGCCCACACAACAAATGCCACACAGTAGCGGCGATTCAGTTTTTTTCTATCTCTTTTTTTTTTGATTTTCCGATTTTTCGTAAGCGTCATTAAAATTGCATTTCGTTGAACTGGCGCCCCGCTGTGCGCCCCCGCCAAACGTCGACTGGCCGGCCGTGCCAGACTTTGCGGCTGCGGCTGCTGCCTCTGGCAGTGGCAGGTGCTGCGGCCAATCGGCGGATGACTATCGAGCGTTTAACTAACGCGTTGCTACTGCTTTTTGTTGTTTTTATTTTTCGTTTTTTGTTTTTGTTTTTGCGTAAATTTTTCATTCATGAGTGCCCATTCAAGTTAGTGTGCTCTAGTCGGGCGTATTCGACTAGCAGATGCGCTTTACTTAGAGTTGCAACAAATGTCAAGCAGGGCTATTTTTATATATACACTATAGTATAACAATAATTATAAGCCAAACTTATCAATTGAATATAGTTAAACAACTGTTACGAGTGTTCCCCTACCAGCTGCCATAGCCCTAGCTACCCTTCACCTTTAAGAGAACTAAGCAAAACTCAAGCCAGGTGCTCTCAAACTGTCCGGAATGTTGTATTCAAAGCCTGATGATGACATGTCAAGGAATTTTGGCATGTGTTTATCATGTTTAATCGCGCAAAAACCTAACATTTTAATCCCACTTAGTCTGGGTGGGGTATTAGCAGGTGGGGGCTGCCGTTGGATATGACGAACGGTTTGTTTACACGACGCCTCGACGGCACGACGCATCCGCGTTCGCGTCGACAGCGGCTGCTGCTGCGGCGGCTGCGGCTGCTGCTGTGGCTGCTGCTGTGGCTGCTGCTGTGGGTGATTTGCGGTCGCGCTGCGTTCTAAATAAAGAAGCGCCGTTTTTTATGTGCATACATATATGTGTACAAACACACACACACGTATGTATATATGGACACATACATACGCACGCATGTCGTCAGGTGTTTAAGAATAGTTTCTAGTGGTTTGTTTTCTGATAATGCTAAATATTCCTCACAGCACAATCCAGAGCACGGCAGTTACTCAACCTTAAATTATTAGGTTGGCGTTGCATATGAGATCGGCGGACTGACAGATAAGCACGTTCAGGCCTCCGGCAGAGGGTAACCCGTAAAGTATGTTCTGATATTTATTGCCCATTCATTTTGCAAACATTTTCACACCAACGCATGTAGAAAATTTATGCACATACTTGAAAATTTAATTAGGAAATACAAGTGTTGGGCATCGAGACTTTTGGGCATTATTTGCATATATGAAAATCGCATAGAACGGCGATTTTTTACAAGCTTAATAATAAACAGAATAAGTGAGATGTCAAGTTGAAGAAAGAGATGGACAGAGAGAGATAGATAGATGGATAGAGAGGAAAGAGAAAGAATAAAAAAAGAGAGGGGGAGAGAGAGAGAGAGAAAGAGAGAGAGAGAGAGAGAGAGAAAGAGAGAGAGAAAGAGAGAGAGAAAGAGAGAGAGAAAGAAAGAGAGAAAGAAAGAGAGGCAGAGATAGATAAATAGTATCTATATATTAGAAAGATAGATAGATAGATAGAGAAAGAGAGAGATAAAGGGTATATATCTCACTTCTATACGATTTCTATGAATATAGACCATATATAGATATTACGGAATTATAGAGGGTCTAGCATTTGAATTGATTTTAAATTAAAGAAACTTTCAAAATCCTTGAAACAATCATATATCTTTAGAATTGCATTTTTGTTGAAGTTCAAATTTGATTAATCAAGTTCACAAAGCGCAGAAAACAGGAAATATATCTGTGAGATACATTTGGAGAATGTGATAAATGATAAAGTAGCTTAACGCCCAATTTATGGAATTTCATATACAACACGCTCACATTTTTCTATTGTTCAACTGAAACTGAAATATACTATGCCGATTTAGCCGCCATCTATCTATCGATTGCATTAGCGCCCGAGTATTGACATATGAATGGGTCGTTCATGGATTTTATGGTCATTATAGGGAATGGGAAAAACCAGAACTGTGAAGCAGCCAGCCAGCCAGCCAGCCAGCCAGCGAGTCAGTCAGCCAACCCACGATTGTTTTAGCCAGCCAAGCTGGCTGGTCTGTCCCAAGTGCCATTTAGATACACGTGCGTCCATAAAGGGCCAAAGCGACCCGTGACCATATTTGTACGAGAGTCTGTAAGATCGAGTAGACGATTGCATGTGCATGCGTGTGATTGAGTATGGGCAACTGAATTTGGTCCGGCATTCAGCATTCGGTATTGACGTAAGATCGATTGTACTTGATTTTAACAAACAAAAAAAAAATATACATTGTTTTTTGGCATCTACCGAGTGCTTCTGTTGCCACTTTAAATTCCACAGTGTAACTCAAAGTTGATTTTAATGGCGAACTTTGTGCCCAGGTCCGGTCCCTGGACGCAGCATGACTCGTCAAAGGCAGCCGCACAAAGCCGCCCGCCGAACAGATGAACTGAATTTCAAAAATAATTTAACTTTATGTTTTTAATTTTTGCTCGTCTTCTGTTTGTAATTACATTGTACATGAGCATGTAGCTAATTAATATCACTTTTATTCTGTTTTTCCTTTTTGTTTTTTGTGTGTGTATTTTTGTGCGTTCTGCCCACGCTTTTGATCGCCGTGCTTTAAGGTCTCTTACAAGTTCAAATATTTGCTTTGTAGTTGCCAAAGATAGCCCTGGTCGCAACTGCGTCAGTCAGCTCTACAAAAAGAAAGAAAAATACTAAAATAATAGGCATAAAATCAAAAAACAGATTCGGATTTGTTGTTGAATTGTGCGTAGAGCAGAGACATGGCCCGCAATGAATGTACTTCTGATGTACTTTGACGCAAACGAGTCGATTAGTTGGGCTAAATTAAACAAGTTAATTGCCTCTAAAATTCATTGGCCGATTTCATATGTGACTGCGCCAGATTCGCAAATAAGCTTTTCAAAATATCTCATTGCGAATATTGTGTAATCCGGCTTAGGCCATTATTAAAGTACATTTTATATATTGTCATTATTATTTTTTTATTATTATGATATTCATTTCTTTATTGTCATTAGTTTCTCACAAGCTAATAAATAGACTTAAGATTAATTAAGATAAATAATTAAGATTGAGATTAATAATAATATTATAATTCACATTTATTTCTACAAGCCTAAGATCCTTGCAATCGGCTCAGGAATTTTGCATATAGCTTATAATTTTTTTGTCAAAATCATTTCTTATATGGTTAATGGTTTTTTTCTTAAAAATCTAGAGCTCTTTTCGACTTGGAATCCTGGAATCTCTAACTCTCATCGTCTACGGAAATATCCCTGATATACTAGAATGCGTCTGATTTGCAGCTTTCTCAAATGGCTGGCACTTTTACAGCTGCTGGCCCGAAGTCAGGTGAGTTGAACAATTCAACAATTGCTCGAGCGTGCGAATTATACATGCTTTGCCTCGCCCACTTGACACAAGCTCATGATGTCAATCGCCAACAATTGGCTCGACAATTTGACGATTGGCTGTGACTGTGCATAATTAACAAATTTGTTTAAGCAGACTACAACAATTATCTATATCCAAATTAAGTCAGCAGGCATTGTGACCTTTTCCGTAGCGCTTGATATGACCCCGGCAACGAAACGGTAAAAATGCCTTTGTATCAGTTTCGAGCAGTTCGTATTTCCGCATGAATGCACTCATGAATGTTACGGCTAGCCCGTACTTAAATGCCCAAAATTGGCCACTTTGGGCAACTCCGCCGTGACTTATGACGGAACCTCTTGTTGAACATGGGAGCATATGGCTTAACCCTGACTGAAGCACACCTGGAAAAGGTCAGCGGTGTGGGTCATGGTTCAACTCAATGCCTCGCCTTTCGAGAACCCCTTTTTTGCATATTCCTGCAGCTAGGTTTTGATTTGTCAATGTGAGATGAACAGGTCAGGATTTTCATTCCTTTTCTATGGAACTACTTGGAGCATGATAGTTGGTATGGTTCTCTGAATTGTCCAAGTTCTGTGCCATAATATATAATGGCTAGCAATAAACACGCAACAGCTGGTTCCAGTGGCGATTTACGGCAGAAGGAGCTGCTGCTGAGCCAATCGTCTTGGTCTTGGTCTTGGTGGAGGCGGTGCTGGTGGTGGGAAGTCGCTGAGACCTATTTTGGATAGGAACGAGACAGGAAGAAGGGATATGCCAGCAAAATTTATGTTATTTTTAGCATTGAGGCAGCCAAGTCTTCGACATCGACTGGAAGCATAACTGCATCAGTCTGGGCGGAGGCAGGCAGGCACCACTCCGCCGAGCGGCAGACGAGAGCAATGACACCTCAAATGAAACGCAGCCCCTGCACCACATGCATATATATGCACACACAAGTATATATGGACACGGGCCACGGTCTGACTTATCCGCTGTGACGGGGTCTGCGTTGGCGCGTCTTTGCGCCTGGGCAGACATTGAAATGTTGGCGACCGTTTCTAATGTTTGATTCGGGATGCCATGTGGACAGACATATTTATTGGCTGTGTTTACCAGGCTTTCGCTAATTTGTCTTTTGAACGCCCTTTTCTTCTTTTCAGAGTGGCCACGTGCAGGAAGCCAAGCGTCACTTACGCGCCGAGCTTGGCGACGCCCTGGGCCATCCAAGCTACTATGGCTCCCATTGGCACCACGGGCAACGTGTGCATCGGCTGCGCATGCCGCACGCTCACCAGAGATGGAGCGGCCGGCGGCGCTTGATTAATCATCAGCATCCCTTCAGCCGCTGGACACAGTGGACGGCCTGTGATGAGGAGTGCATTCGGCGACGGGAGCGCTTCTGCAAGGCCAAGCGAAAGTGTGGACACACCAAGCACGTGGAGCAGCGCAAGTGCTCGCAGTGAGTGCCAAATTGTGGCTGATAAAAAGCGAAATAAAAATATCACTCATATTTATGCTGTCGTGCAGTTGTCATCCGGCAGTCAAGTGGCATGCAACGAGCAGCTTGCCACCAGCCAACTTGCCGCACCACAATTCCCATTTGCCGGCGATCGTTATAAACGCGGCGGCAGCTGCTGCGAGTGGGCCACCCTTTCAGCCGCATCCAACCGAATCGCATCCCCATCCCGACGTGGACTCTGTTGAGGTAGTGCACAGAAGGCCGCCACATTGGCCCCCAATTGAATCTAGTGTAGAGCAGGATGATGATGAAGAGGATGAAGCTGTAGAAGATGAGCCCCCCTTCCATGTCGATCAGGGCGACTTTTTTGTGCTGAAACGATACCGACGCAGGCAGAGACCACGGCACAGCTCCAGGCAAGGCTCAAGGCACAGTTCGGAGCACAGCTTCAGGCAAGGATCAAGGCACAGCTCCGAGTACAGAATTAGGCAAAAGCCCAAATTCGATTACCTTGATGATGATTTTGAGGATTACTTCGAGCGCAAATCCCTTAGGCAGCGTTCCTTGGGCAGCGTTGATAATGCTGGCCTGGAAGGAGATGTCTTTCAGTACGAGGATTTCGATTTCGAGCCAGATAGCCAATACACGGACTCGGAGGAGTATACGGATGTGCGTAACATGACTTTCTTGCCGCCAGCTAAGGAGCGGAATACACCAGACGGGCTGCTGCCCCGCCATCGACGCCTCTACTCCAAGTGGAGCCGCTGGAGCAAGTGCTCACCGAAATGCACCACACGGCGCTACAAGTAAGTGGCTGCCACTTGCTCCAAACTTCTCATGCTCTTCAAGCTCTTCCCTCCTCAGAAAGTGCCGCATCAGCGAGCAGTGTGGTCGCGAAGTGCTGCGCGAGATCGCCTACTGCTACACCGAGGGCAGCTTCTGCCAGCAGTGGCTGCAGACCCAGGTGCAGAAGGTGCCCGCCTATGAGTCCAGACCCGGCCCGGTGACGGCCATGCGACGCATGCACACGGAGCCGGCAGCTGCAGCTGGAGCGCTGAGCAGAAATGATGTCAATGTCATCATGAGCGGCAAGGGCTATCGGGGACCCGAATACTCGCCGCTGAAGCTGCACTGCGGCCTGCCGCGCAGTGGACACCGGAGCATGTACAACATGCTGAAGATTATTGGCGGCAAGGCGGCCCGCAAGGGCGAGTGGCCCTGGCAGGTGGCCATCTTCAATCGGTTCAAGGAGGCCTTTTGCGGTGGCACATTAATCGCTCCGCTCTGGGTCCTGACCGCCGCTCACTGTGTGCGCAAGGTTCTGTACGTGCGCTTCGGGGAGCACAATCTGGACTATGAGGACGGCACCGAGGTGCAGCTGCGCGTGCTCAAGAGCTACAAGCATCCCAATTTCGATAAGCGCACCGTGGACAGCGACGTCGCGTTGCTGCGGTGAGCACATCTTGACCTTTCATCTATTTTACGTATATAAATGTTTGTCATTTTATTAAAGGCTACCCAAGCCGGTCAATGCCACCAGCTGGATTGGCTACTCGTGCCTGCCGCGCCCCTACCAGCCGCTGCCCAAGAACATGGACTGCACGGTCATCGGCTGGGGCAAGCGGCGCAACCGGGACGTGGTCGGCACCAGCGTCCTGCACCAGGCAGACGTGCCCATCATACCCATGGAGAACTGTCGCAGTGTCTACCACGATTATACCATAACGAAGGTGCGTGCTTCTAATAGTAAATACTTTCATTTTACAAACTTGGATTATTTGCAGAACATGTTCTGCGCTGGGCATCGCCGTGGCCGCATCGATACATGCGCCGGCGACTCGGGCGGGCCGCTGCTTTGTCGCGACACCACCAAAGCCAATCATCCGTGGACCATTTTTGGCATCACCTCGTTTGGCGATGGCTGCGCCAAGCGCAATAAGTTCGGCATCTATGCCAAGGTGCCCAACTACGTGGATTGGGTCTGGTCGGTGGTCAATTGCAACGGCAACTGCAAATTGCACTAGCAGCTTATGGCGTCCAGTTGGCAGCGATCTGGGCCAAATGCTAAGGTATCATAGATATAGTTCGTAGCTGGTAAGTCGTTATGTTTCAGAGGCTGTGAGATACTTATTTACTTTTAATCACCTGGAGGCCCACATCTGGGCAACTCATCCTGTAAATACAACACATACTTGCCTAAGTACTCATTATGTACATACGAGTTCTTTCGCGGAATTCTTTCTTTGCCGGCTAAATATAAATTATTTATTACCTGAGAGCACAGCTGAGCTGCATGTTCCGGGGGAATTTGCAGCTCTGATTTGCTCGGAAACTTATCTTAAAATTTATAAAAACCAAGAGAAATTCTGCTCGCAAATATTTCACATGCGCAGCGAATGCTTGCTTACAGGAAAATACATTCTAGAATAAGGTCTGTTTAATATCGGATTCGTTTAAATTAATTATAAAAACAGTTGCAGCTATTGCTTATCCACACTTCTAGTTTTACACATTCTTGCCTTTTGCCACAAATATTCGGATTATTTTAATAGTGAAATTCGAAAGAAATAAGGAATATTTATAACAAGTCTCGGGTTGATTAGCAGGGTCTTAAGTTACATATAAAAAAGGAAGCTTTAAATAATTTAAACTATCTTCGGCGTGCCGAATATTGTATTGCCTTGTAGACAAGGCTAAGTGTTTTAATGCAAACGATTTATTTCCGACTATATAACATAGATATAGTATTTCGATTTCGATAAGATTTTGCTGGGACAAGACAAGAAAACCCAGTCCAAAAAGATGGACTACGTAGTTAAAACTGTGAGACTCGTTTCCATAGAAGCAGACTGACAGACAGACTATATCGAGTCGGTTGTTGATGCTGATCAAGAATATATATACCCTATGAGATACCCTCATACCCCTTTCACAAAATTCGAGTATAAATATGCAAACAGACCCAAAAAAAGGGTTCCCGCACAAAATAAATTTTGCAATGTTTAAGTTTATTACATTAGTGTTAAATGCTGCCCGTTGAGGCTTTAATAATACAACTATATAACGGGACCTTTTTACATTTCTTCTACTACCAATAAGAGTACACCTTGGTTCATAATTTAAAAAGAAAACCATCACAAGATTTATGTGTATGCACATGTATGCAATCAATGTATTCGGATTGGGTTGCGTATATTGTGTGTTATGGTTAGTCGAATAAGCAACCAATAGTCATGCAGCATCCGGCTGTCTACTACACGGCCATTGTATAGTGGAGGGCCACCGAGGCGAGCAGCACCAGCAGAGCCACCGCAATGCCGATCATGTACAGACTGCGGGACAGTTCTCGCTTGGGCATCGAGCTGCTCATCCTGCGACTGTCGTCTCCAACTGCGTCTCTGTCTGCGTGAAAATGGTTGAAGTTGCCGTCATCTGGTAGGGCCTCGGCGTCCAAGTCAATCGCCTCCGGATCGAGCTCGATGTCAAGTACCTGCTTGGCTTGGGCTACGGCCACGGTGGGTGCTTCGCCGCGGAACAAATATTCGGAGAACTGAACCGAGCTACAAGGCAAACAGTTGCCACATTCCGCGGGTAGGCCGAAGAACACACGTCGGGGAGGTTCGCTTATGTAGACCGCCTCGTTGGTGACGTGCGGATCGGTTAGACCATCGCAGTAGACCTGGATCCGCGTTATCAACGATCGCAACACGTCGTCGCGCAAGAAGCGCTTCACGTCTGCCAAGCTGTTCCGCGAGTTGCAGTAAATTCGTGAGAAGATCATCCCGCTCATGCGTAAAGTGCCGCTAAACTCGCGCACCTTGATGTCGTTTGGATTGTTCAGCTGGCACTTGACGGGCATCACGATGCTGGCCCGTATCACGCAGCCATTGGAATTGTCAATGGGGGATAGTAGATGCAATGTAGAGGCAGCCGCAGATGTCGGCGAGCTGGCAGCAGCTGCGGTGGCATTGGTCGTTGTCTCCTTAAGCTTGTCGTCCTTAAGCTTTTTCTTTTTGATGTAGCTCTGCAAATCCATTGTGTCCTCGACCATTTCGTTCTGGAGGAATACCTCGCTGGCAATGAGGTATTTACGGATCGTGACTATAATATTTTGAAACTGTTCTTCAATGTTGATGCGTCTGGTTGTATCGACTATGGGTATGACATCATCCAAGTCGTAATTGCACTCCAATTGTATCCACTCGAACGGCTTCTCCACGAAGCGGTAGTCCATGGAGGAGAATGTGCCGCCACTGTCGGGGGTTAAGAAAACAAATATATATTAATTAAAAAGTTCATGGAGACGATTGGCAAAGCTCTACAAAAAGAATTTTGCTTTGATAAATACAACATACATATGTATCTAGAGATAAATCGTAAAATGCAATCCATAAATAAGTCGTAAGAACAGCTACGAAAATTAACTTTTACATAAGAAAATATACGCCGTAATGGTCGTAAAACATTCAAAGGTGTAAGTACTTGATTTTCAACATGTTATTTACCATATGATGCATTTAATGTTTGCCGTAAAATACGTTTTTTTGCAATGTCTATTTTAAGCATGTGGCCAACAAGATAATTGATAAAGAAAAGATACATAAGTCAACGGTGTAGATTCGGCTTGATCCCGACCCAAATACTCAACAATTGTTAGTTAGTTCTACAAAGGACCTCACTTACTTTCCGTACGTATAGTTTTTGCACAGCAAACTTTTGTCGGCCAGGGAGTAGGAGAGGAACACATAGTCTGTCTGTGCCATGTCTGTGGTGTATACCCCAAAGGAGCTATTGCTCTTGAGCAACACGCTGCAACAAAAGTGAGACATTAGAATTGCTTTGACATCCCTTCTTAACTCGGACACTCACTCGTAGACATCGGAGAAGAGTTTCTTGGCGTTCCTGAATTGCTCGCTCTGCTCATTGGCCATCTCCGGGCGCACAGAGGCAACGAATATACCTAAAATAGAGTAAGGCCATGTGAATTGGAGTTTGGTTCCATGCCTATCTCAGTGCCCACCTATGACATCAAAGGAGCCGGGACACATTTTGCTGGCGCTCAGCCATTGGGAGGCCAACGCATGCGAGTTGATGTCACTTATGCCCAGCCGGACATCGGTCAAGTCTTCCAAGTCCGCATCCTCCTCGCTGTTGCGTGCCAGATGAACCACAATGCTTTTGGTTAAATCTGCTTGCTGGAATTTAAGGTGTGGTAGAATATAAATAAAAGAAGAGTACTCAGTCAACAAAATAAACCTACGTGGCGGTGGCCGGAGCAGGAGCATACTTGTACTTACGTGACCAACGATAATGCCGTACGAGAAACTGTGCTCTTGGGCGCACTTTTCCAGATAGAGCTCATCGGATTTGCTCAAAAGCACGGTGCGCATTATATTCTTTTTAGTTTTTCTAACAATACAAAATTGTAGCAGTTCTGGCCTGACTTTAATGTTGATGATATATAACTATCGATAATTTTGGGCTGTTTCGACAAGTTCGATGCATGGCCTCATCGATGTTTTTTTGACGATAGTTTCGTTGAGTTTTAGAGATGGTAGAGAACTGAAAACTCAAATGTGTTATGGCGCCAAAACGAATTTAAAAATGAATTGTACTTGAAACCATATTCAAACAGGTGCTTGTAACAGGTGCTTAATATGGAAAAAGGGAGAAGAGAATTTGTGAGTAGACATTTTTAAGGGGTTCAAAGAGTGTGTAAAGTAGAGAGTAGTCAGGAAGGTACCTCGTGGGGTGTTATTTTTCGTCTTCCAGCAACAATCTAATTGATCGAAATATATTTTCTATATATTCTTTCTCTCTCTATTCATTACTTTTAATATTGCTCTTCATCTATGAAAAACGTGCTTAACTTTGATTCAGCTGATTTTGCAATTTTAAAATACAGCATAAAGTTAAGCACGAAGAATTTTTAATCAAAGCGAAATGATTTGTAATTGGTTTTAAGGTTCAAAAGTGTATTTTTAAGCGCTTCAAACTAACAAGCTGCACAGCTGTTTCAATTGATTCATTTAATTGCATTAAGATACAAGAGCAGAGAAGTATCCCCGATCCCCGATCCAAGCACACCCTTCTCCACTTTCGAGCGCTCGAATTAAGTCAGCAACCTTATTACTTCGTAATGATTGCTTGCTCGAGGAGCACAAAGATATGCATATTTATCTCCCAGTACGGGTGTGCCACCCAAATGGTCAAGTGTTTTGTGGGGATTATGGCGAACGGACGCGATCGGTAATCGAATTAGGTAAACAAACACTCAATAAAGCGAGTGTTCGTTGTGCATATGCACACATACATCTCCATAATGTATACATATCCATCTATATAGATATCTACATTCGGACGAGTCAGGCAGTGGCAACGTCTGGCGACGTCTGCGGGATTGCGATTGTGCCGTGATGACAGGCTAAAACTAAATGAAATTTCGTTTAGGTGGTCGCTGGCGGCTGCGAACCATCTGCTTGTGTGAATGCTTGATTGTTGAAGTGCCACTCGATGGCGCGAGGGCGCACGCTACTCTCGAGCCTCAGCCTCAGCCCCCGACTCCGACTCCAACTCCGGCACAGGCACCGGCTCCACAGTTCACGTCTTATTTACATAGTAAATTATTCCTGTTCGATTGTTTGCGTTTGCTCTGGATCTCTGGCATAAAAGCACTCGAGCGTCATCGTCAGCTTTCATCGTCGTCGTCGTTGGTTCATTCATGATTTGCCTTTCACAATTTGATGTATGCATGTTTGTATGTATGTATGTACGTATGCATATGTATGTGACATTTTATGCACATTTACTACAAAAATGTGAGAGAACTTGTTGGCCATTTGGAGCATGCTCCCCACACTTCCTACCCGATCTCTGGACTGTACAGATTCATGTTCTTCTGTCCAAGCCAGGCGGCTGGCAGGCAACTGGCAACCAGCAGGGTAATTGCTTTTCAGCTCGAACCATTCGAATTGCGCCGGCAGCTACTCAATTCACAGGCATCGATGCAATTTGGCTTCTGTGCAGGCACCACGGTTGCCATTGCCCCCACCGGCAGGCATTCTGTGTGGCTCGCCCATCACGCCATGTGTAGCTTAGTTGCACTCTCGATTCAGCTTTGAGTCGCCTTGCCCGAGCAGCGCATCAATCATCCAACACGCACACCAAAAGCTACAAAACGCCAGCCAGGAGACAAATCTGAGCACCTTGCAGTCCGTGTGTGTGTGTGTGTGTGTATGTGCTTGTTGCCACAGTTGGCAGTACATCAAAGTTGTTTATGATTTACCAATCGTTGAAATTTCAAATATACCAGGGAACATTTAAAGTGTATTCATTTTCTAACGAACTTTTACACAGTCAACATCTAAAAGCAGAAGAAGGGTAAGTTATAGATACTTTTCTGAATTTCTAAAATAATTTACTTACATTTATTTTTTACATTTATAGTGTTGATCCCGATCTGCTTGTGATTACGCTTTGGAATGTAGTCCTATGTTAGGGGAAGTGGTTTTCCCCCGGCGAGTCGTTGCTGGTGTGACTGCTCGATTTGGAATGAGGGCTTCACTTGCCGGAAGTTCTGTGCTATGGCAACACATCAAATTTGCTTGTGAACAAGCAAATTTCTTCAGATGTAGCTTTGCACAGCCAGCAGGAACAACATATTTTTCTACGGACAAATGAACATAATAAACAAATAAAAAACAAGTAAAAGGTTCTAGTCGTGAGCTCCCGACTGAGGATACCCTAAACCCTCTTTTCCAACATCAAATGCATATATATTCTATTTTAAAAGCTATATCTCAAGTTTGGTGACTAGCTCTTATTATTTACCATAAAACAGGATATCGATATCGATTTTTATCGATTGCTTGGAAACGGAGTAAGATATCGATTATCGGAAATAAACTCGATCTGCGCGGGAACTAGGAGCACCTACATCTAAAATTTCAGTCTCTAGCTCTTATAGGTTCTGAGATCCTTGCGTTCATGCATACAGACAGACAGACGAACAGACAGACGGACGGACATGGCTATATCAAGAATATATACTTTATGGGGTCGGAGATGCTTCCTTCTGCCTGTTACATACATTTCGATTTTGCACAAATACAATATACCCTTAAACCCATTTTTAATGGGCTCAGGGTATAAAAATCAAACAGCAAAGTAGGTGCTGCCACTTTTTTGGATGAATAGCATGACGATAAACAGAATTAGGTGCTAAATATATGGAGACATATATTGTTTGTCTAGGTCTATGCGTTAGTTAATTCTATATTAACTTTTATATGAAATATTTTTTCCAGATTAAGTATAAACAACGGGTCAAATTTTTTGAAATTCTATTCAATCCCCTTCGTAAGGGCGATAACAGATAAATATGTGCATGCGTTGGGTACTTTTTGTTGATTATATATTTTATCTTGATATTCTAATATAAGTTAAAGAATTTCAACAAATTTAGAAGAAACCCGGGGTGAAATTTCTGAAAAATTCTAGCTATATTTGGATGACATTCTGAATGATAGGTAAGTTTTTCAGTCCAAGCTTAACCGATTTTATTAAACATTCTTCTAGGTTCTTCTTCTTTTACAAACTATACATTTCTGCCTTTTACATAAAACTAAAGTCGCGTTTTGGCCTTCAAATGTGTATTTCCCTTGAGTAATAATATTCGGCGATTCTAATATGCACTATTCTAGTGCAGTTAGAACATAAGCAATGCCTTATCATAAATAAATTGCACTTCCCCTTGCCCTTCGCGCAGAGGTCTCTTCCTGTTCCTGAGGCTGGTTGTTTATACGCTCGGACGCAGTCATGAGCGCGTTGGCCACTGCCTACTTGGCGCGTTCGGTGTAACGTGCCGTTGTTGGAGTGAGGGGGAGAGGCATGTAATTGCTGGGATTGTGTGCGCCAGTGTGCACGACATGCTGCCGTCCCGCTCGCACGCTAGCGGCTCATCTGACAACGGCCGCCATTATGAATGTGCGCCGAAGTTGAAAAACCGGTTGGCGCGGCGAAAAGCACTCAAACGTTGAGTGAAACGCGAACTGAGTGGAGCCGTCGCCGCCAGCAGCAGCAGCAGCAGCAGCAGCGGCAGCCAGTTCCAGGTGAAATTCAAGCCACTTGCGGCTGGCACTCAGTGTGCTGAGAGCGGCTTTCACGTGAACAACGTTCAAACGGAACAACGTCGATTTAACAACAAAGCAAAGCAATTTTCTGAAGCCATCATTCGGTTTGGGCAATGTGCGCGGGTGCAGTGAGGAGCACGTTATGAATTTAATTGGCCGCATTGCGTTTCCGTTTGCCACCGAGTCTGTCTGTTTGCCATGCCCACAGATTTGCTCCACAATCAATAATTGCTCCGCGACTGAGCCAGTGACTGTGCCCGTGACTGTGACTGTGACTGTGCTACTTAGTGCTGTGTAGTGAAAACTCTCGAACTGTTCCAAGCACATCAAAGCATCGTTTCGTAGCCCGGCGACCAAACGCTGCTGACATGTTGATTGAGCCGAGCTTGAACCGTGATTTTGGCTCGCTAACTGCTGCAGGTTCTGGCATTGCGACCGCACACTGGAAAATGGAACCACATCCCCAACGATTGCCATCGCTGGCAGCGCACGCGTCCAGTGGTAAGTTTCCCAATTGCAATTAGAGCAGTTGCCGACGGCAATTTAAAAAATGACAGCAAAAGCAAATATTCATTGTGAAAGGACATTAATCATTAGCCTGAGAAGCATAGCTAATGCAAAGTGCTCAGTTCTTGTTTGAGGTAAAAAATTATCAAATATTTCAGCATAGTTCCAATACTGGATATAGAATGTTTCTCAAAAATCAACAACTTTCATTCTGCTCTTAATTTGAAGATTTAATTGCAACATAAACTTAATATGTTTGTCTTTATAAATTTCTTATGCATATATTTACACTTCGCACGTGTTCCAATATTTTGAACTTGTTAACACAATAGATCTGCACAATTTATGCCATAAATGGTTTTTGGCCAGATGAATAACAAACGCTTCACAAACGGAGCAAATTGTTTTTGAATTTACGGCTAATTGACAATGGCAGGGAATTACCAGAAATTCGTAAAGTTGTGGGTTCTACGCGAGCAACGCATTAAGTATAAAAACAATTAATATTGGCACCAAGATGATAATGTGTTTTGTGTACCTTAAAGCCAACACACGCTGCACACAGGTTCTGCTGCAGCTGATTAAATATTTTAATTTTAATTTGCTTTTTATAAGCGCTAAATTATGCCCGAAAATGTTAAATCTGTTGAGCGTTCAAGTTGCGTTTCATTCAAACATTAGTCTAGAAAAAAAGAAACAAGCATTTGTTTTAGCCAGTGACAATTGAGCAACGCCATTGCCAATGTTGTTGCCGATGTTGTTGCTGCTGCTGCTGTTGCTGCTGCTGCTGCTGCTGTCATCAGTCACTCGGCGGCTTTAGCTCAGTTTAGTCAAC